TTACAATTACAAATTATTCAGAGGGAGAGCTGTTTTTTCTCTGAAACCCTAAGTGAGTTGCTATGCTCCAAAAAGATGTCTTTGTGTTTCATGTGAGATATACCCTATTATGCAAGAAGATGCTGATACTCTTGAATGGTATAGAATTGGAGTAGTATTTTATTAGCTTAGCTCCATGATGCAGCAATCTTTGCTTTCTATTATCAAATTTGAAAGTCTGACCATTTTTGCTTTATATTCTCATATTTAAATGTCTGTCATTAAAGAGTTACATGAAGGTAAGTACACTCCCTGACATGTGCACTAATTTTCATGTCACTAGACATGAAAGTCTACTTCTAAGAGGGTTCATTAGGCAAGGGCCACCTTCATACTCTGGAAAGGGTAAATTCACCATTGAAAATGGAGGGAATTGCTCCACTGAAAGTTTCCTAACAGAAGACTTTCGGCACCAACTCTTTCTGCATTGAGTCTTGTGTCTAATGTGGAGTCAGTCAAAATGAGTCCAGGTGTTGAGGGATGACAGGAGCCCTGTGACAACAGCTTCACAGAGCCTGAGGCAGTGACTTCTTCAGGGTTGTTTGACCAGCCCTTAACCTACAGATTCAGTCTGCCCAGCTTCCCGGTGGAGATTCAGTTGCTTAACTGTTTAGTGTGGATTCTTTAAAAAGCAATGAAATTAGTTCTTACCAGAAAAGCAGTTTGAAGATATACAAAGCACTATTTTGGTTAAATTGAGGGAAGTTGTTTTTATGCACATTTTTTGTAAAACCCATTAAATAATTCTTTTTTTGTCAAAATGGCAATACATAGGAAGAAATAAGTAGGAAATAAGAGAAGTTATCAAAGAGAAAGGAGAACACTTGACAGAAACTCCATGTGTGGTAGGATGGATTGGTTCTAGGGTTATGGGGGATCGCCAATGGATAATAGATTTGTCGGGAGGGGATTGGGTGGGGGGAGGGTGGGAAGGCTACTGTGGAGAACCTGGTCAGACAATTGAAGCTCCAATAAACAAAATATGAAACCAAAACATGGCGTTTCCTTAAAGCACCAGCTAGTAATCTTTCTATCTTGAAAGCAAGTCATAGCCAATCAACGATTCTTTGTTGAATGTTGGTGATGCATTTATTACTGTGTTAGAATTTGTGGGAAACACTATGGTGTAAGAAACAAGGAGTCTCAGGCCTCAGGGATTTATAAATTCATTGGGAAGTCAAGGGTTAATACAATAAGAGGCTCTAAGAGAACAATACATTCAAGCAATATAATCAACGGCCATTTCTTGCTCTTTCCTTGCAAATTCTTCTACTTCTTCCTTTTTAAATGTTGGTATTCTTCAAGTTTTGGTCTTGACCATCCTTTTCTACTCCCAGTACCAAATGTTAGTAATATGATGTGTTGAAAACTAAATGACAACAGGGAATGGAAAGGAAACATAAAGACATGAGTGGGTAGGTATAATAAGGAATGGCAGGGCTTCTGGTAAAATAAACAGCTCTTACCTGCCTAATGACATCCAAATTTAAGTTTAAGTAATGTATATGTTTTTCTGACCCAAAAAAATCACCTTTACTAGCTGGGATTTGGGCTCTCAGTGAGTGACCTATGATCTATATACTGACTTCTTCTGAACTTTGTTCTCTAAACCTGAGTTCCTCTCCTGAGTTTCATATTGATTTATCCAAGTACCTAGTAGTCATCTGCATCTGGAAGTCCCCCAGAGGTCTTAATCAAGGGGCTAAATCTCACCCACTCCCTGTCCCATTATAGTAGAATATAGCCACACCCATCATTCACCTATCATCTACGGCTACCTTCATCCCACAAAGAGAGTTGAGTAGCTATAACAGAGACCACATGTCCAACAAAGACTAAAATATTTACTATCTGGCCCCTTAGCAAAAAAGTTTGGCAAACCCTCCTTTAAAACAACATATTCTCAGATGCACTCATCCTTTTCCCCCAAACCAACCATCCAATGCACTTTTGTCAATATCTTCCTCATTTACTATGGATTCCCTCAGGTTCCTTCCTCCACTTCATGCCCCTGGTCTAGGACCTGTCCTGAGACCTGGCATTGCTTATACCTCTTCCCTCCAGTCCATTTCCCCCACCACAGCCTTGGCTCTCTATTTCTCACCCATCTTAATAGTTTCTGCTATTCCTACAGACCACCAGATTTACATTTTTGTAAAAACAAATCTGATCAGGTCACTTCCCTATTTAGCATCCTTCATTGATGTCCATATCCTCCTAGATAAAATAATCGTCTTTCTGAGGATACAATCCCCTTCCTCCTCTATAACCCTAATCGCAGGTTCAGCCTTGTCTTCCCTGCACTCACCTGCTCTCTAACGTCTGTCTACTGACATTTATCATTGCCTCGAATGGCTCATTCTCTCCTTCACGCCTGTGAGAGATGCGCAGACTGTTCTTTTATCTTTTCATTTTAAGAAACTTAATTGTCAAGATTCCACTTCAGCATCACTTCCTTTGTGATGCTGTCTCACCTCTGATCTCTCCTGCCTCTGTCCTGCACTCTGGCTCCCATCAGAATTATGGCCCCTTTATTCTGATTCTATAGTGTATTATGTATAAATGTTGGAGTATGTGTCAAATTGCATTGAATCTTAATTACATTTAGTCCTCTCTCTCTCCTCATTAGGTGTGAACTCCCTGAGGGATCTTTTCTTACATATATTTGTGTCCCTAGTACTTATCATATGCTTGGCAAAAGATTAGATGCTCAATAAATGTTCAGTGAATTCCTGAAGTTGATTATAAGTCAGTAAGTTTTTAACAAACAAGGACTAATCCCTAACTGATACTTTGGTCATGAGGAGTAAACACAAATCTGTAATTGATTAAATGATGAGATAATTCAGGAGCAGAGAGAGCCTTCTGAAATGCGAATCACATCAGCATGTTATTCCCACCCTTAAACCCCTCCATGGCTTCCCATTGCACTTAGGATAAAACTCAAAATCTTTGAGGTGGCCAACCTCAAACTTCATCAGGCAGGCCAGTGTTTTACTACATACCCACGACTCACTGTGCTTCAGGCACACGGACCTTTCTCCTGTTTCTCAAAAGCACTACACTCTTTTCTGCCTTTGGGTCTTTGCACCCACTTTCCATCGTTTGGAAATACTCTTCTGCTCTTCCTCTGGCCAAATTCTATTCAACTCACCTGTCACAGTTGAAAGATTATGTCCTCCTAGGGACTTTGCCGACCTAGAATTCTCTGCTGGAGTGCCTGTTCTTTTCTGCAAAAGCATTCATTACCTTTTGAAGCCGTACACTTACTTGCTGGTTCGTGTGTTTAACATTGTCATTCTGAAAACTCATAGGGCAAAGATCATATTGGTTTCATTGATTGCTGGCATTGCCTGGCACATTCTGGGTGCTCAATAAGGATTTGAGAAATAAAAGAATAATTGAAAAAGAGAACATTCTGGATATTTTTGAAGAGAGAGTGGTTAGATTGGTCAGCACTGTAAAGGGTAAACTAGAATGAAGAGTAACAGGAATGAAGAGGAACTTAAGGAAGCCCTTGCTTCTATGTGAGGCAAAAGTGTTACAGAATAACTGATGAAGTGAGGATGGAAGGAAGAAGCAACTTTATCACTCTATTCTAATTACATTCTTTTCGGCCAGGAAAACAACACAAGAAACAAACCTCCAAAGATGAGTAAGAAGTTAAACAAGTTGGCCATTTTCAAACATATGTGTACTAAAATCATAGCTTTCACACACACTAACAACAACTAGTTTAAAAAATGCAAGGAAGAAAGCAATCCATTCAAAGTAGCAAACAAAATTTTTAAAATCATAAACTAATAAGAATTATGTGAAAGACCTTAAGCATCAGCAAGATTATAAAGAAGACTTCCACAAGTCTTGAAATTACCATATTTTTAAATGAGAAGTCTCATCTTATTAAAGGTGAGTTATGGGGCCGGGTGTGGTGGCTCACGCCTGTAATCCCAGCACTTTGGGAGGCCGAGGCGGGCGGATCACAAGGTCAGGAGATCGAGACCACGGTGAAACTCTGTCTCTACTGCAAATACAAAAAAAATTAGCCAGGCGTGGTGGCGGGCGCCTGTAGTCCCAGCTACTCGGTAGGCTGAGGCAGGAGAATGGCGTGAACCCAGGAGGCAGAGCTTGCAGTGAGCCAAGATCGCGCCACTGCACTCCAGCCTTGGCGACAGAGCGAGACTCTGTCTCAAAAAATAAAAATAAATAAAATTAAATTTAAAAAAAGGTGAGTTATACCTATACTAGTTGGTAAATGGAATGCAATTCTTTTCAAAGTGCTCTATGGATTTTTGTGAAATTTGACAAACAGGATATTTAAGATCACCTGAATAAATAAATGTTTGAATTTGAGACAAGCCTGGGCAACACAGTGAGACTCCAAATCTACAAAAAATAATTTAAACAAAAATTAGCCAGTCATGATAGTGTGTGCCTGTAGTATGACCTATTCAGGAGGCTGAGGCAGGAGGATTGTGTGAGCCCAGGAGTTTGAGGTTGCAGGGAGCTACCATTGCACCACTGCACTCCAGCCCGGGTAACAGAATGACACCCTGTCTCTTAAAAAATGAAAAAGAAAAAAGAAAAGAAAATGGAAAAAAAAATGAAGCAATGAGGAGGAAGGTGTCTTCCCATATATTAACAATTTTAAGCTATATTAAGTAAGGCAGTATGGTAAACAGTGCCAGAGTAGCCAAAGAAACTCATTGAGCCAAATGAAAGATTCAGAATTAGAGCCATTTATAAAAGATTTTAATATGGTAAACAAGGTATTTTAAATTACTGAGGCAAGGATGAATTATTCAATAAACAATTTCAATAGTTGAAAAAACTGAAATTAAATCTACCTCATAAAAACACCATTTTACACATATTTAAATATAATATGGTATATATTATAAGTATATAATATGTATAAATAAAGCATTAAAATATTAAGAGGAAATACTCACATGATCTTTGGATGGGAAAGTGCTCTCCATGAGACTAAAAGTAGAAATCCCAAAGGAAGACTGACTTCTTCAACTACATAAACATTTAAAATTCCATTATTAGAAAACCATAACAAGGTTAAAAGTTAAATGGTAATCTAGAAAAATACTTGCAACGTTTTAATAGACAAATTTTAGTGTCTCTAATAGAGCTCTTACAAATCAAAAATTTTTAATTGGCAAACTTTCTAAAAAATGGATAAAAATAGGCAATTAACACACACATACACAATATGAAAAGAAATACAGATGTCTCACATTATAAGAAGATGTTTAATTTCACTAGTCATCAAAGAAATGCAAATGATATCAGTTGCAAGATACAATTTTCACCTACCTATCTGACAAAATAAACATTAAGTAGTAAATTAACACCCATACTGCCGGAGGTGATATAAATTGCCAAAATTTCTTTAGAGGTTAATACATGTCAAAGGCAACAAAAAACTTTTGAATCAAAAATCCGACTTCTAGAAAAATTTTCCCTACAAATTAAAACTATACCTGAAGACTTTATGTATTAAGTCATTTATAACTTGCAATTGTTTGCTCAATATTTATCAAACACCCAGCAGGTTCTAGTTACTGTAAGGATGGGTTGATACAGGAATACACAAGCCAGATATAACCTCTGCCTTCATGGAGCTTGCACTCTCATAGGAAAGACAGGTGGTAAATAAGTAACCAAATCAATAAGATGATAATTAGGTACTGTTGAACATGATGAAGAAAATAAACAGGAAAGCTATGACAGTCAGATGATAGTCAGGGAAGGCTTTTCTTAAGAGATGACATTTAAACTAGGACATGAAGGCTATAAATGACATAATTTTCCAAACAAACAAACAGAAAAACAGGTGTAGGAAACAGCAAATGTAAAAGTCTTTGGGAAGGAAACAGCTTAGCACATTTGAAGATCTGACAGAAGTCCAGGAAACTACAGAAGAGTAACCCAAGGGGGTGGGTGGCATGGGAAGGTGGGCGAAGAAGGTGGCAGTGGTGTGTTGATGGAGGTGAGGTCGGCATTGGCCATCCAAGCAGGACTTTGCTGGGCATGCTGAGGAGGTTGGAACTACAATGGGAAGTCACTGCAGGATTTTGAAAGGGGAGATATGTGATCTAATTTGTACTTTAGTACATTACTTTGGTTGCTATATGGAGGGTGGATTTGGTGGGGGCGGGGGGCAGCAATTGAGGAAGCAGGAAAATTGGTTAGGAAGCTATCACAAAATCAGAGGGAGAGGTGATGGTACGTTGGATGCATCTGATGGTGGAGATAATGAGGATGTGACAGAGATCATTTAAAATGGTAAAAATTTTGTAACCCTCCCCATTCTGTGAGACAGGGAATGCTGAATAAAATTATGAGCTCCTAAGCTACCATTAAAAATGAATTGTCAGCCAAATGTGGTGATTCCAGCATTCCCGGAGACCAAGGAGGGAGGATCACTGGAGCCCAAGAGTTTGAGACCAGCCTGAGCAACATAGTGAGACCCTGTCTCCAAAAAAAAAAAAAATTAAAAATTAGCCGGGCATGATGGCATGTGCCTGTACTCCTAGCTACTCAGGAGGCTGAGGTGGGAGGATCGCTTGAGTTTGGGAGTTTGAGGCTGCAGTGAGCCATGATTATGCCACTGAACTCCAGCTTGGGCAAAAAAAAAATAAAATAAAATAATTGTCAGAGACAATCTTGACATAATAGGCACTTTTTGAATATTAAGTGAAAAAACTGATGGACAAACTGAGAAATAATAAAAGGAAGTAAATTGGTGGAACCAAGTCCCGGAGAAGACATAAAGTAAGACCAAAGCAGAGGCAGAAAAGTATTCTGGGCAAAGAAAGTTTCTACTTTCCAGGGTGACCACAGGTTCCCGCTCACCCAGGACAGTTGTTGTACACTGTGTCCACAGGTTCTAGTGCACTGTGTGCTTGTGTAAGTGTGGTGTGTCCTTTCACTCTCAGAAGTATCCTGGTTTGAATGAGAAATTATATGGTCCCTCCATAGTGCTTCACCCATGACAGAAATGAAGGGAAAAAGGAAGTTCTGTTAAAGAAGCGGAGAGATGTTCAGTGGAATAGTAAGAGAACTCACAAGAGGTTGCCTCAGTCACCACAGTGATGTAGGAGGCTGGGTTTTCAGGGCACCCAGGGTGGTGGTGGGTTTGGGTCTTGTGGAGGGTAGGAGAAGCTGGTACCACCAACGCGGTGGAACTCCTGGGAAGCCAAGAGATAAACTAAAGATGCTCAGGGGATCTCCACGGCCGGACAGCATTTCATCTACGGCACTTAAAATCCGGAGTCTTTGAGTTTCTATGTTCATAATTTAGATTCAACAAAGATCAATTTAATTATCTGTAGTGTCATGTTTATGGTACATTTATTTTATTTTGTCCTTTGAAAACTAGAAAGCCATGTATCTGAAATTCTTTTCACAAAATCAGAACCCTTATTCAGTCCTTCAAATAAAACCAACCCCTTGTGTCAATGATCATGCATTTCTTTCTTTCTTTCTTTCTTTTTCCCTAGACAGGGTCTTGCTCTGTTGCCCAGGCTGGAGTGCAGTGGTGCGATCATGGCTCACTGCAGCCTTCATGTTTTGGGCTCAAGGATTCTCTCACCTCAGTCTCCCAAGTAGCTGGGACTACAGGCATGTGCTACCACACCTGGCTAATTTGGTTTATTTATTGTAGAGACGAGGTCTCACTTTCTTTTCCAGGCTGATCACAAACTCCTGGAATCAAGCAGCCCTCCTGCCTCGGCTGCCCAAAGGCCTGGGATTACAAGGGTGAGCTACAGTGCTCAGCTGATATGGATTTCAATTTTTATCTTTTTGTTTACTCAACAAATATTTATGTGTCACAGCACCTCACTGTATGATTGTATTTCTCTGAGACAGCATGACACTGGTCCCACCAACTACTGCCAATCTGTTTACATTTCCACCTTCCTCCTAGCAATAAAGGCTCTAAACATAGACAAACATTCCAACATTCATTTTCTGTCACAAGCTCATGCACAAACTCACTCTCTTCTTTCTTTCTCTCCCAGTCTCAGCCTGTCTCCAAAAAATACACATTAGATTTTTCTCCTTCAATATTTCTTTGCTTTCCTATATCCACATAAGCTAATGCATCAACTGTTTTTTAAAAACCTATGCACACAAAGATTTGAATGCAAATGCTTATAATAGCTTCATTCCTAAATTCAGAAAAACTGGAAACAATCCAAGTGTCCTTCAGTGGATAAACAAATGGTGGTATAGCCACATAATGGAATTTTTCCTATCAATATAAAGGAACTGATGTGTGGAAGAACACGAATAAGTTTCAAATGCACTGTGCTGAGTGAAAGAAGTCAGATTTGAAGGGTTATATACTGTATGGTTTCGTCTATATGGCAATATGGAAAAAGCAAACTGGATCAGTGGTGCTCGGGACTGGGGTTGGGGAAAAGAGATGGACTACGAAGGGACAGGAGAAAGCTTTCTAGGGTGATTTAAATATTCTGTATCTAGGTTGTTATATGACTGTATGTGTTTCTCAAAATACAACTATCTGCATAATTTAGAAAGGATGAGTTTATCATTTATAAATCATGCCTCAGTAAACCCAACTGCTTAAAGCTTCTGGCAGATTGTTTTTCTAGACACACACACACACACACACATGAGTGAGAGACAAAACAAAAGAAAAGAAAATTCAAGAGAAGAAAGGAAGAGACTGATAGGATGGAAAAGGAAGAGAGATTTTGATGAGGTTCTTTTGGTAAAGCAATGTAATTACTAGTTGATTAAATAGAAATATGGTACTTAACTGCCTGAAATTGTCAGACACATGTCAAGAACATATTGGAGGAACAAAATATCACCCATAAAATTTGAGAAGGTCCCTAAAAAAGAGTAAATAAAATATGTTGAAAATAAGAGTTTGTCGTTGTAGAGTAGCGCAAAAAATGATGCTGATGCTTCTACTTGTCTAGGACAGAACTCTATTGTGAACCTCTTCCAGGATAGAAGGCTTGTGCTTATCTGCACAGCTGCTGTAGAATCCAACAGGAATATTGAGGATGCCCCTCCATCCCCAAACCTGAAAGTCAAGGAGGTAGCAGCAGCTATCCCTGTTCACAGCACTGTCCTCTTCAGAGACACAGCCATCCAAAGACATTAGCCAGTTCACAGCATAGTCAGCGGAAAAGAGTGAGTGGCTTGTGGTTCTGCATTGAGAGAGTGTGAGTAAATTAATATAAAGGATTCTATCTAAAATCTACACGTAGCACGGCGTTAGGTTTATTTTTCAATCAGAAAAGAGAGCATATAATGGGCCAGTTCATATGCATGAATCCAAAGACAGCACAGAAAATATTGGTATTGAGGTAGATACAGGTGATTTAGCTCACGAAAAGAGACTGGCTAAATCATGGGAAGAGTTGACTTCTGCAAGGCCAAGTTCTTACTGTGGAAAATCCATGCCCCCTCAATCCCATCTCCCACCCCCCACCCTGAATTTCTCTTTTGAACACTCACATTAGCGCTTTGGCTTCTTGCCCAAGAACTTGAAAATGAAAGGATAAAAAGTGAGCTTAATGTTCTTTGCTAGGCATAAGTCCCCTTTATTCTTTAACACAGGCTCAGGAGCTCCCCTGAGAAATAATGAGTAAGAATTTAGTATTTTTAATAGAACGATTTGAGGGCAGCATCACAAGGATTTAGTGGGGGCCATAAGAGTAAGAACCCCTGTTGGTCTCTGAGGTCTGTTCCCCAGACTTTGGCCATTCTGTTTTCACATATGGGAAAATGCAGGTAGAGTTTTCTTTCCAACCTTAACATCCTCTGTTAAATCATATGCTTGTATTTCTCAGCCACTTCTGTCCAAACATGTTTTCCTAATGAGGCATTATATTCCTATGAAATTAAGCTGCTTTTCTTCAAAACTAATATTTTGTTTTTAAAAAAAACCACGCGTAGTAAACCGTATTAGATTGTGGTTGTAGACAATAACACTATGTTATTTAGAAATAGTCTTCGGTGGTAGTTCC